TACCAGCTGGCAATCCGGAACTTACTTCTGCAAGTTCCCAAACCTCTTCCCGCACAGCAGCTGTCAGCCACAATGAGACGCCAGGATCTGGCACGACGCCCCAAGCAACCATTCCAGCTACCAATTTAGCACTTACTTCTACAACTTCCCAGACCTGTCCCACTGCATCAACTGCGGATCATAGTGAGACACCAGGATTTGGCACGGCGCCAACTACTAATCTAGCATCTGCTTCAGCTTTCCAAAATTGTTTCGTTCCATCAACTTTCAGTCCCACTGAAACACTAGGATTTCCCTGCACAACCATGCCAGCTGCTAATCCATCGCTTATTTTGTTTGACGAAGCTAATTTTAGAGGACTTATAGAAAACATAAGTACTGCAAGACTTATGCCAACAGTTGCTCCGTCAAATTATCCTGCTTTAGCAACTGTGAAACATAGTGAAGCACCAGGATCTAGCATAATGCCCAGCGAAAATATGAGAACTTTTAATGCGCCGCCTCTTCCAACGGCTTATCAACCTCGTTTCGTTAAGCCAGCTGTCAATTTCAGTGAAGCACCAAGATCTGGTATGTTGCCCCAAAAAATCGTTCCATCTACTAAACCTGAAACAGGAAATGCTTTGCTAGTTTATCAACCAAACGCTATTAAATTAGGATCCGCAACTAACCCACCACCAGGTCTGTGCCCTCCGGACAACAGGAAGCATGTGCAATTTCCAAGAGAAATTCGCGATTTACCACCTCTACAACGTCCTCCTGGGCAAAGAACATCCTGCCAGTATCGTTCAGGAAATCACCCATTAAGATTCCCTCACTTGCCGACGAATGCAGCCGCATTCGGCCAAAGACCCGCAAGGCCATCGAACTACCAGCGCGCAAAACGGTACACACATTCTGGTAACACTGCTGCAGTTCAACAAAAACACCACAATTTACCTCCACAACAACGCCTGCCTTCAAAAAAAAAACCCAGGTGCAAAAGCCCCAAAGAGCCCGATTCGACGGTGACGACGACGACAACGACGAAGACGACGACAACAACAACGACGAAACAGCGGTATTCATTTTATTTTGTTTTTTTTTTTCGAATCTTTAAATTCTTGATTATCTGCGTATAAAATGTGTGCAAATGCGCGAGGTGTAACACAGGAAAAGCTTACTTCTTTTTACGTTAGCTGCGGTTGCATGACGAAAGAAAGAATGTGCTGATGAAGCTCGCCTCTTCCATATCTCAATAATTTTTACATATATGCAACTTAGAATAGGGAAGCACGGATAGGCTATTTTTAAATTTGTCATATTACCACGGCCTGAATTCAAAACTGTCCTTTTCTAATTGTTTTTTCTTTTCCGGTTCTATTTAGCAAATTTTGTCTGCGCTTTTGCCCCTCTCCTCCACCCCGTCAGCAAATGCTAGCAACCTACGCCGGTGCTTATGCGTCTTCTTTAGAGTTTGTTCATACGTTGAGGTTGGAAAGGGGAAGGAGGAGGCGTGGGGCGGGAGGCAGGGGGGG